GCAAATCACCCCTGGAGAAAGCCTGTTTTTCCAATCAAGCTATGCCTCACAGCACACTACTTTTTCTCTTTTAATCAATATTTTTCCACTTCTGCTCCAAAAAGTAAGATTTATCAAACAAAAAATCCAAAACAAGCAAAAGCTTACATGGCCAGGACCACAGTCAGCATTCCTAGGTTAGGTGATACACTTGCCTTGGCTATATACTTCATTTTCCTTTCTCTTCCCATGCTCTAACTTTCAGTCAACTCGTGTGTGGATTTAGATGCTCTAAGCACTTAAAATCCACATTAGGAACTCTACATTGATGCTTCTGCACACCGGTATTAGTCCAAGGAGGAAAACAGACTCTCCTCTTCAGTTGCAAGCTTTTAGTACTCAAAAATTGGGAGACAAAAGGGGGAAAGAAGATTTCATTTGTCTCCCCCCTCTTACGCCTGTCCTTTACAGGGATGTTTTCCGACTTGCATTGCTATTGCTCGATTTCCAAAAGGGAATTCCATCTTTGGCAGCTAAGGTGAAGTCTGGTTTATACCAATTCTCTTTTCAGATTACTTCACTGTTAATGTATTTGCATCTTTCAAACAGCTACAAAGAATCCTCTTTTTTTATTTTAATTAAGTGTATTACTATTCTAGCATATAAACCTACACACTTCATTCAGCTGATACACTGTACAACACAGGGCAGTGGCAGACCTTTCATACTTGCCAAAAGATAACATGCCAGAAGGCGCTGTCAGGGCAGCATCAGCTGCTGAGAAGGAGAGGAGCCTGAGAGCTGCCCAGGGTACAACTCCTGCCTCTTCCATCATCTTGGAAGCTGATCACTCGGTAAGTCTGTTCATTCCCCCCATAACAACATTAAAAAGCACATACCTGCTTTTTAAAAGGCACTTTGAAATATACAGATTAAAAGTATTACCTACATACTTACTTGGAAAGGAAAAAAAAAGCAATTTTATTTTAATAAACCAAATCCCAGGTGTGAGTCAAAGAAAGGTATCACATAGCCACAGTGTGAGAGAAAGCAGCCAGCTTAGTTGTTTGTTTAAATGTAAGCAGAAGCAGCAATAACTGGAAAGGTATTATTCACATGAAGATTTCAGCTTTTGCAAGCATTATATCTGCTGTTGCTGCTACAGAACTAGGAACAGAGTGGCCTATTTTCTGTTTGACTCGTGCATCCCATTATTACTTGCACACTCCTGACTAGCCAACAGCAGTATCTTTTCAGCTTGCTGACTCATCCAAACATCCTGCAGGTGAGCTGACATCCTGGTCAAGGAACAGAAATACTCTGTAGTGGCCTGGACTGACACACTGATCTTTCCCGAAGAGTAAATGGAAATAACCAAACAAATCAAACAAATAGAATTTCCAACACTTACTTCATCCTAAAAATTGCCTCTCACATGATAGGGAGATAGATACAGGAAATGAAACAACTAAGCACAACATTGTGACTTAAACTGTGATCAAAGAAGTGGCAAGGAGCTTCATGAGAGGTCAAAAGTAACATTTTCCTAACTGTGACTGGAAAAAATGCATTCTTTTTTTTACTGGACAAATGTGAACAAGTGTCAAAAAAGTTAGTGAAAGCCAACATGATGTTTTGAGACAGCACACACACACAAATTCTAAAAGATTTTCAGCTGCATAAAAAGCTGGAAACTTCACACTGACTACTCAACTGGAATCATGAGGCTTAGTATTTCCCCTGCTAAAAGCCTCTGGTCCAGCTTCTGTGTACACCAAAATAAGTTTTGGTGGGTTTTTGGTTTGTTTTTTTTTTTGTCTTTCTGGACTACAGAGATATTAATGAAAACTTTTGCAAACCCAGGTGCCTAATTTAGGTAATACCTCTAGACCTTATCAGACCACACAAATACTACTGAAGTAAATGGAAGCTGCAGGTACTCAACATCTTTAAAAATATGCTCATGCAGTGCACGCAAATGTCACACCAACATTGTTCAAATCTGCCTATGAAAAAACAGAATAATAATCTTAAACTGTCATAGAAATCAATCAGCTCACTAGAAACATGCTCAAGTGATATTCTACTGGAGGCTGAAAAAGCCAAACTCAGCTGTTACTTTGTTGAAAAACTGCTTTTATGCCCAAGCCATTCACGGAGATCTAAGCAATGCAACCACTTTTTTTTTTTTACAAGCATTTTACCGAGCAGCTTGCCAAGCTCTGTATAAACACATTTTACTATTTCATAAAATTTATATGCCAAGTTTTTGAAACACAAAGTGACAGGCTCTCAGTGGAATTTCTGCAGAGCTACGAGGCTCTTATTGCCCTCAGCCCTCTTGAGACTGTAAATTGACTATAAGAAGCAAGTAGCCAGGATCTTTTTCTTTCACACAGGAATGCTTTGCAAACCTGAAATACTAAAACAGACTCTATGATCGGACAAGGAAGAATTTCTTTACACGAGGTTCAAAATCCCCCAGTGATCAGCACACTATAAATATGCAGCATTACTAGGTTTCTGTTGCCAGCAGTGGAAAAAGTTTCTCTCTGCCATTAAAGACCCCTTAAAGTGAAGAACTAATACTAAATATCCTCCACCCCACAGAGATATTTTAGCTGGATATTTTCATAAGAAAATCACCTTATCTCAAGGATTCAGGTTGCTTTCTAGTTTTCATCTAACTTGCTCACAACTTGCTTTCACTTGAAGTTACACAAAAGCAGCTGAGAGCAAACTCACCAGTGCCATAAAAAGAAAACCCAAATGAAGAGAGAATAACCTAGTTTCCAAGCTTCATGAAGTAAAAACTCTTGAGTATATAGTACAATTGCATTTGTGCCATATCATATCACATTTCAATCTATACTGCCTACTGAAACTTTCCACTTCCTTTACCAGACAGTTTTCTTATGGCTCCCTTTGATTATTCCCAGCTCTGACAGATTAGCTATCTTTTTACCATGATTACTTTTGCTTTATTATCCATTTGCATTTATAACACTACTATTATTGTAAGGATTCTGAAGACATGTCCTTTATGGTGCTCTGCAGTATCAATGCAATTCTTGCAACGGCTTTCCATTGTCAATGATGCAAATGAAACAGGTATGTCAGAAACTGACATCTTCCTTTATTTTTTTTTTCATAAAATGGTAAACCCAAAGCTCTTCCTCTTCTATGCTGTTCTTAAAAGCAGTAACTTTAGAATTACGATATCAAGGAACAGCAAAAACAAACAAACAAAAATTTAGCCAGTATTTTGGGTGTTTTTATTACCACTTCCTCTCTTATATGCAGATAATAAAAATAAATGAAAACTTTAAAAAAAAGGACATGACTACTAAACCCACAAATATTAGAAGACTTCAGTGGCAGCTCTGATACCCACAAAAGATTTAACATTCCCTTTTCAAGTTAGCTATGCTCTAGTATTTTTAAGGTTGCAAAGCAAGCTAGTCAGAATCAGAGCTCGTTTTCCAGCATTTAATCCTCCACCTGACTTAGTGTGCTTCCTTTCAGTTATTAATCACTTTGATACTACATCCTCTTAACTCAAGTTTAAATTTTGAAGACACACATGAATGCTATTTACTCCTACAGAAAAATCCCTGACTTCTCAATCTAAAACAGCAGCAGTCATTAACCACTTCCAGAATTCTACTGAAAAAAATGCCATTTTTCTATAGTTGATCTTTCCTTTTTCAGTCGCCTACAACAGAAGGCTTCTGCTCTTTAGCTTTCTGTTAGAAAGGTAATACCTCCAATTTGCAAGCATATTTTATCAAACTTTAAAGTATGCTTTGGACACTTCCATAAATACAGTCCGTGTTTGTTCACTGTCCACATACAACAGTGAAAAAATGCTTAACGGCCTTCTGAAATAAAAGGATTGTATGTGGAACCTGCACCTGCCCAAGAGCCTTACGCAGGCCTCAGGACTGCTCCTCTTCAAGAGCTGTACTGGCCAAGCAATCCCAAATTGCAATCTGAGTTCTCCATTGCTCTCTTAACCACAGTACAGAGAAAAAGGCATCCATGGGACACCTATCCCATGGTGCTAGCTGTCTTCTCCCAAAGGAAAAGAAGGAAGCGTAGCTCAGCCACCGTACATGGGCTTAATGGCTAAACAACCTCAGGATCTAGCCAGTAGCCAGGTATTAGGGGATGCGGATAAGTGCCATGCTCTCACAGGGGAAACAGGTTCCGATGGAGACACACCTCCCACACACCTCTTGTGTAGGTACTGACAGATGCTGCCAGCTCTGCCTGTTGGAGCCTCCCAGACAGGTCACCAGGCCAAGCCTGCCAGACTCCGTCCAGCCTAGTACCTGGGGCTGGATCAGTGACCAACACACGCCCGGGGGTTTCTTGGACCACTTGGGTGCACTGGCCTGAACAGGAGAACCCAGGGAAAGGCGATGGGCAGCCAGGTGCTCCTCGCATCAAACTTGCTTGTTTCTCAATGCCCTGTAAGTTCTCAGATCAAAACGTCAAAGCACAAACGCAATCACACAAAAGACGAAAGCCATGACCTGAAGCCTGATACGAAAACCAAAGGCGATCCCACCGGCACAGCCTACAGACACAGCACCCCTTGCCTGCTACGCCAGCGTTGGGAGCGGGGGAAATGTGCAGAACGCGACGCGCCACCTCGGCCTCGGTCACGGGCGGGATGGAGGGCACGGGTTGGGGGCGGTGCGGCAGCCGCGGGGCAGGGGCGACCGAGCTCAGCTTCCTTCTCACGCGTCTCCAGGGCTCGGGGGGCACCCGCCGGCGGTCGCACACGCACTGCAGAGCCGCGGGCCGCTCCCCCCACCACGGGGCCAGGGCATCGGCGGCCCGCACCCGGAGCTGGGCGGGGGCTGCCTGGACGGGCTCGCGTTCCGGCCCCTGCGCGCTGCCAGAAACTTTTCACGGAGGGGAAGGGGACAGGGCACAGAGGAGAGGAGAGCTGTGGGGGGGGGGTTACAGGAGGAAAGGGGGGTCCCGCCGGCCGCTTTCTGCGCGGCCCTTACCCGTCCTTGCGACGGGCCTTGTAGACGTGCCCGTAGGTGCCTCTGCCCACTTTGCAGCCTTCGTACTCGAACAGGTCCTCCACCCGCTCGCGCTCGGCCGCCAGCTTCGACTTGAACTCGTAGTCCATGTCTCACCCATGGGCGGGGAGGGACGGACAGGGGACACGGCGGCCGGATCAGCACCCCTGGCGGGCAGAGCCCCCTCCTGGCGCCGCCATTTCCGGGGCTCGGCGGGAGGGCGAGGGGTTGGAGGGCGGGAGGAGGGGGGACGGTTTGTTTTTGTTTTGGTTTGGGGCTTTTCGGCGGGGGGAGGGGGCGCGCTCGGCCGCCACCCGCTTCAACTGGGCTCCTCGCGGCGCTGCGCGCGGGATGCCGGGAGTCGTAGTGCGGCTGTGGGAGCCTGCCCCTGCGAGGAGGGCGGGGTGCCGTGGCGGTAGAACTACACCTCCCGGCATGCCCCGGGACGCCCTGGTTAGGCGGCGTCGGCGCGCTGCGCTCCCCGGAGACAGCGTTTCAGCGGCCCTTGGGGACTTGCTGACTCTTCCCGTTGAGGGCAGAGGCGGCAGCGAGGAGCGCGGCTGGTCTCTCACTGGGGAAGGACGGAGACCGCGCGCCCGGAGCGGTGGTTGCTACTGGTGACCAGTGGCGCGCGGAAGCGGCGGTTGGGCCGCGTCCAGTGCCGGCAGCTCTCGAGCCACGGCCCGCCCAAAGCAAACGGCTCCTCAACGGAGCGGCGGCCTCGCGTGTGTGCCGGTCCGGCGGGGCCGCACTGCAGGCCCACGGCCGTTTGGAGCCGAACGGGAAGGAGGAGCGGAAAGCGGCAGTAACCTTTATGCGACTGCCGTTCCATGTTGGAAACACGGATCCTTGCAAGGCGGATGGATGTAGTCAGGAGCTGCTGAATAGTTCACAGTGAGGATCGCAGGGGCAGATTGCAGTGTTTGCATCCAAATACGAACTCGGGCTTATTGCTGAGGCTTTCAGTACAGCAAAGCTATGTCCCTTCAGCCCCATGCAAAGAGTTTTTTAGCCAAACATGATGCTACTTTCAGGTTCAGATTTCATGCTAAGTATTTTGAGATGATGGAAATGTTGAGGCATTTTGGAATTATGTCGTCTCAGGTTTTTCTTGGTGAAAAACAACACTCTCTGCAAGTGTATTTGCATTACGGAAGCACCACACAGAACTAACAAAATACCAAGGTTATATCCTGTCATACAAGCAAGTAATAATCCCTACCTTCTGTATTCAATCTTGGCTAATAACAGCAGCAAATAAGTGAAACAGAATGAAATCAGAGAAGTGTAAAACCAGAGGCTGTCCATATACAGAAACCGTCTCGGTTCATCACCTGCCCAGCCAGCACTGGTTACCTCAATGGAAAGTTCTGACACTGTATGGGAGGGACTGGCGAGCTGGTGAGAAGCTGTCAGTGCTGATAAAGCAAAGGGAGGGGTCAGCTGCAGTACGAGGTAAGATACTGTATACGATTACTAGTGCATAGCTAAACTGTGAGGTCCTAACCAGAAGTTTGTTTCTCAAGCAAAGGCAGAAGGAATATAACCATTTTGAAGTGATTATTTCCTCCAGAAAGTAATAGATGATTCAGAATTTCCTTTGCACCAGGTAAATAACAACCTAAATTCTCAGAAAACTTAATCACTCCTTTACCAAAGTAATATTTTCCAGAGAACTACAAGTGCTTTTCTCTGCAGTTGCAGGTACAGAACAAGGCCTGATCATGATCTGGCAAATTTCCTGAGCACAGGAAAGAGAACACCATTGATCTTTCAGTGTCAGCATTAAAGACATTTGCTAAAGTTAGAGCTTTAAATTTTGCAAAGTGTTCACATCTTTGGTCACCTAGTAGTCAAAGCCAACACTGAGAAGAAAGGGACACAGACTTAAAAGGGCAAGCATGTACCTGTAGAAGGTTATGCTACCCAGATATATTAATTCAGTCTTAAAGTCATTAGGAATAAGGACTACCTTGCAGTTGGTAATAATAAACTCTTCAAGTAGTTCCCATTTCCCTCTTGGACCAAAAAAATAGCTGTTACTGCCCATTTTCATTACTAAGGTTTTCATTTTCTACTCTTACAATTCCAACATTTAATGAAAAGATTGTTCTTCACTGTTATTTATTGTATGTCCACAGCACAGGTGAGAGAGGGTTAACGGCACCCCTGGTTATGGAAGCCCAGCTAGGCTGGCATTTGTAAGCCAAGACAGCTTAATTTCCCTCTACCCTATGCTACCTAGCTCCCTAGTGTTGTAAGCACCCATTTTATCCTTTCTTCCACAAACTGATCATTGTGAGTAAGAGTTTTGGCCTTTGCTGCTGCTGCTAGGAGGCTGTCTGAGAGAAACCTTTCTAACAGCTGGAAGACTTTTTAAAATTTCAAACCTACGATTCCTGTGACCAGTCCACATCCATCTTTTCTTTCTCTTCAAATACTGTCCTGAAGTAGCCTTTCTTGCTCTCCTGTGTGTATCCCCTGCCAAAAGTGTTTATAGATAGCAATCTCATCCCCACATAGCCTTTCTTTTGCTGGACTAAACAAACCATGCTTTTCTCATTTCCTTCATGAGCCCCCCCAACAGAAGCTGGACTGATGCAAAGCTAGTTGTGGAAAACACACAACATGATCTGTGCCCTGGTTCCTTATCTTGTGACAAAGCCCTACTTCTGGTTTTTGAATCCTTACATTTGCCACATAAAAGCCCCTGAAAGTGTAAAATCAATGAAGCAGCTCCAAATGTAGGTCATCTCAGAGGCCAGTAAGAATGAGGCTGCCTTCTTATAATGCAGAAGTTTTATCAATCCACAGTTAAAAGATGGAAAATGGGCACATTTGTTTCTTCTTGAGGTTGGAGCACATAGCAGGAATCCACTTCAAGTTCATGAAGGTGGAGAAAACTGTTTATATAGGTACATGCTGTCAGGCCTGTTTGAGAACAGCTTCCTGACATCTCCTCTCCAGGTGGGTCCCAGAGGAGGACCAGTGGCAGGCAGCTATTTACAGAGCAGAGATGAATCTCTGAGTAGTGGCAAATGGGCTGAGAGAAGGAGGCAGAACAGTACCATGACATTACCATTGCTCTTCCATGTTTGTAGAATGGTTATGACACTGGTAATACATATTTAATGGCATTCACAGAGGTTTTTAAAGTGTTTTATTGTATTATTCAATTCTAGTCAGAAGGGAAATTACTGTGATGTTTTTAATACTTAATGCCCTATCATTTGTTAATTGTGCTGATGTAGAATGTCTGAGTAGCCCCACCAAAGAAAATAGAAAATGACAGGCTTGCAGATTGCAAGCATGATTTTTTTCAGCCTGCCAGCCTAACTGAAGATGCTGGGCTGTTGCTCATTCAAATCACCATTTCTTCTGAATGTCAAGTCACTGCATTCTCTCTTCATATATTAGTGAGACCAAAAAATGTGTGTGGGTTTTGTTCTGTTTTGGTTTTTTATTTTTTATTTTTAATTTTTCTAGGCCACATCTGGAAGTATTTGCACCTTTTCTTAACTTACTGTCTCTGTAAGCTTTTACTTGTTAACCCAGTGGGAAATTTGGGACTCTTACGGATCAATACAGCATTTTTTCAGTGGATCTTTAGTGGGACATTAATAAACATACACAAACAGTGTTTACTGACATCAGTCACATTTAAGCTGATGTTGCTTCACTTAAGAGTGAAAGAATACAACTCAGAAGTCTGAGGAATAAGAGTAGAGAAAATTCAGAACAAATATGGGTCTCACATGAACTGTATTATCATCTTTACAGAAGCAGAGAAATACTAACAGTTCTATTCCAATAAAAGTAGAAATATACTAATTTTTATATACTAATATATAAATATACTGATTTTTAAACATATTAATGTAAGAGTGTGAATAGCCTAATAAAAGTGGGATAGTATGCCAGACAATTTCTCATAGGGGTGGATTAGAAAGTCTTCTACTGGCTGCAAGTTCATACATTGTCATTCCCAGTAAAACTCTGAATTTTGGAATCTTTTATGTCAGTTAACTTCTAAACACCTATTATAAAACTATTAACATTATTTTACAGGTTTAGAAAACAAAGTACATTACTAAGAGGCACTACCAAGATTTTACAGTAAATCTAGAGTTCATGCTAGGAACAGAATATGGGAGTTCTGACTTCTGCTCTCATTATATAATTATTTGGCTAGCTTTGGTTTTGGTTTGGTTTTTTAATTAATTTTTATAGCACCATAATCCAAATAGTACTAAAATAGAAACCTTGTACTGCTTTTCTTGAGTGTAATCCAAGAACCTGATCTCAAAATAGGCTGTACTGTTTTTCCTCATGATTTTTCCTGAGAAAAAAGAAAACCCTCACAAAATCACAAAAGCTATTACCTACTTTCTCTTTATGGACTGGTCAGATGGAGCAGTTACATAATATAACCAACAGAATTCAGCATTCAGCCACTAAAAACAGTAGGACACAGCAAAGTAGAAGTAAAATAATCCTTCATTGCATGGTGTGCCACAGTTTATCATTGCACAACTACAATTCAACCTGATCACTGACCAACTATGTATAACCACGTGTATATCTTAGCATATCACTCCCTGTAAATTGTGAAGCAAGATGCATGAGCTTATTTCATTTGCAGTATAGCATGCAGTGTAGTGTTTAAATTTGTCAGAAAAAAAAATCCAAAAAGCTAGAGGATACTATCAACAGCCGTTGCATTCCCATTTGAGAATCAGCGTGACAGCTGGTTTAGAGTGCCAGCCAATACCTCCAAAGCAGAGATGCAGAGAAAACCTTGATTTCTAAAAATGTAGTTGTTGCCCATTATGGAGAAAGCATAAACTCTAATTCTGAATATAGCAGCCAAACTTTGCATATTTTGAAGCTGCACTGTTAGTGTAACTGAGCTTCCTTGGCTTTGATGATATACATGCTTTCAATCCACCTGCATTGTTGGCATTCTTATTCCAGCACCACCATGTTCCACCTGCTCTATTTCCTTGCTAGTTGTTAAGGTTTTCAGAGGCTAAAATAATTCTAAATTTGCCTGTAGAATCCACTAATCTTTTTCCATGAAATGAGAAAATCAGTAGCATGTAATGAAAAAGGAAAGATGTTTCTTTGATTCACAGAATCCTAGACTGGTTTGGGTTGGAACGGACTTTAAAGATCATCTAGTTCCAACTCCACTGCTATGGATGGGCACACCTTTCACTAGACCAGGTTGCTCAAAGCCCTGTCCACCCTGGCCTTGAACACTTCCAGGGGTGGAGCATCTACAGCTTCTCTGGGCAATCTATTCCAGCGCCTCACCAGCCTCATAGTGAAGAACTTCTTCCTAATATCTAATCTAAATCTACCCTCTTTCAGTTTGAAACCATTGCCCCTTGTCCTATCCCTCCATGCATTGCTCCCTCCGTGTCTTTGTAGAAAGTCTCTCTCCAAATTTCTTGTAGATCCCTTTAGGCACTGGCAGCTGCTCTAAGATCTGTCCAGAGACTTCTCTTCTCCAGCCTGAACAAGCCCAGTTCTCTCAGCCTGTCATCACAGGAGAGGTGCTCTAGCCTTTGGAGCATCTTCATGGCCATCCCCTGGTCTCGCTCCAACAGCTGCACGCCCCTCTTGTGTTGGGAACCACAGAATGCAGTACTGCAGAGGAGAGAGCAGAGTAGAGGGGGAGAATCACCTCCCTGTGCCTGCCAGTCATTATTCTCTTGATGCAGCCCAGGATACAGTTCGCTTGAGGAATATAAAGGAGCATACATCAAAACTGCACTGTCTGATAGCTTTCTGAAGTTAAATCCATTTCCACAGAAGAAACAGAACTGTGCTAAACAGATAACCCAAACCATATCAAGTTCTACTGTTAGGGTTCCAACTTTTTCCATTGGATATAATAAGTTTTATATCACTTTATCAGCAAAATTCATCCTCAAGACAAGCTATGGCTATAAAACAGTATTTCACGACAAGTTTATAGAACATATCTAATATATAGAGAACTATTATAATTTAGTGTTGCTCCTAGCCAAATAGTGATGTCTTATTACAAGTGTTCTCAGCAGCAAATGTTCAAAAGTGCTTTAATAAATTGTCTTTGTACAAGAAATAACAAACTTCAGTTATACCAAGTGCGATTTATATATAAGAAAATCTTTGAGTGATAAAGACAGTTATATAATGAAATTGTCTGGAGATAATGTGTAATCATTAGACTAAAACTGAAATAATTAGATATTTTTAAGAAAAAGTTAGATAAACCTATTTTAGAAGTTTTGTAGCTAAGGTAGCATTACCATGATGAGGAGAGTAGCTAGAAATTAGATTTCTTGGTTTTCTTTCCAGCCCTATTTTTCTATGAGTTTGTTATTTTATATGACATAAGAAGCCTCATTTCATGGATTAATCAGTTAAAACACAAAACTCAAAGACAGAAGTGAACCATGAGGTTTTGTGACAGAAGGATTATCCCACAAGGATTTGTACTGAGCTGTTTACAGTTTGTAAGTGAACTGGGAAAAGGAATAAATGATGACGTGACAACATTTGAAGAACATGTCTGATAATTCAGACCTAAAGCTGATTGGAAATACACAGGCTCCCACAGCACTGTGTGAGTAGCGATAGTTGAAAAGCAGTGTTCCAGAGTGCAGTGTAATAAACATGGAGGAAAAACACACAGATACGATGATGACTTCTAAAAGCTAGTGTCAGTCGTTAAAACTCTTGAAGTCACTGTGAGCAGTTGTATGAAAAAAGGTTCCGTTCTCAGAGGTGGTTAATAGTACAAGAAAGGTAAACTTTTTTAGAAAAAGGATAAGGAAAGAAATATAAACCACAGTACTACATACAACTGTGGTGCACTGCTTGCATATTGTTGTCAGTTCTAGTCACCTCATCTCAGAATCCATAATTAGGATTAGTAACATTCAGATAACTAAAACTCAAAAATATTAAATGGCAAAATGATGGGATACAAATACATTAGCAGCTTTTAAATACAAAATACTGTCTCTGTTTTAGCACTTCTGAAGGACTCACATTACTGGAAGCTGGGAAGGCACACAGAAGAGATTACTGCTGTCTGCTTGCCCTTTTTGTATACTCTCTCATCATGTACTAGATGGGCCTCTGGTTCATCTACTACAGCCATTCTTATGATCCTACAAGAAGAGGCTAAATACATTTGGATTTTTTAGCTGGGAAAATAAGTTATTGGACGGGGGTGATAAATGATTTAAAAAAAAATTTAGCCAAAAGCCATATTTAATTACTACTGTGTCGTTTGTGGCTATTGTGTACCAGAGGAAACTTCCAGATCAGGAATTCACCAGAACGCAATTTGTTAGAATCTGAGGAGATGGATGTGTTAACAGAAAAAAATGAGTGATCCAAGAGCTGAATGCCTCCTGCCTGTGAATGATTTTGTGCTTTGTGAAACTATAACAGAATTAGATTCAAGAAAACCTAGAAAAATATTGAGGCTAAGAGCCTCAATATTTTGCTGAAGTTCTGGTTTTCTTATTTCCACCCTAATTTTATTATTTCCTAACTCCATCCTTGCCTCAGTGGCAAAATCCTACATTATCTAGATTCCAGAACTGTATTTACAGCCAAATAGGAAATGACGGCATTGGCTGTTGGCTCACAACGCTGAAGAAGTTGAGCAACTCTGAATTTTAAAGGAAAGCCAGATGGTTTAATGAGAGGAGGAACAGGAGTTCCATTGTCCTACATGGTTTTTATTTCTTTGAGGACCAGGTTTTCTATATGTAATGTAAGGCACAATATTTCTACATCCTTAGGAAAACTTCTGGATTCAAGTATTACTGAAAATATTGGTTAGCTTTACTAGCTATGTCCATTGACCAGTAAAAAATGTGCAGTCAGCCAAATTTCAGCCTGAAAAAAAAGAACTGACCAAAATCTTTTTATACTTCAGGCTATGATCTTGCCAGTACAACTTGGAAAAAAAAAGAGATTATCCTGAGAAAAATACCTAGTGCTAATGCCTTATATAGAAAAGACTAAGCACTGACTGTTGAAGCAAAAAATACTTTACACCCTTACCACAGACATCAAAAATTTTATTGTCAAACCCCTACAGTGCTTCTGGCTGGATAAAATACCATGGAAAAGGTGACTGTGACTTTAGCCTCACAGAAGGTGCAGAAACAACGGTTGATGGAAGGGAAATATGGGGATGATGCACACAAAGAAAATCACTAGCTGCTCTTACTACAGAACATGAGTGCCCTTGCTGCTGAGTAAGACTTCTTGTCACTAGTTTCTGTCTTTTCCTCACTCCAATTTTACACAGTAAAATTAAGGCAATCAAAACTATTAAATTAGTTTTAATTCTAAGCTGAAGTACTTTCAACTGCCATGTTAATGTTTTTTTTGAAGGATAAGGTGCCCTTGGTTCCCTGTAGCCTCTGATAGTATATTGTGTCTGGTTGGGATGAGGTTAATTTTCTTCATTGCAACCTGTATGGTGTTGTGGTTTAGATTTGTGACCTAAACAACGTTGATAACACACCAGTGTTTTAGCTATTGCTGAGCAGTGCTTGTACAGCATCAAGGCCTTCTCTGTTTTTCATTATGCCCCTGCAGCAAGTAGGCTGACATGATCTGACCAGTGAGATACTGCATGCTATATAACATCATGCTCAGTGATAAAACTGGGGCGGGGGGGAGTTTTTGCAAAGTTGCCGTTGCTTGAAGACTGGCTGGGTACCGGTCTGCTGGTAGGAGATGGTGAGTAAGTGGCATTCCATAATTTATTTGTCTTTTTTTTTTTTTTTCTTTTTTCTTTTCTTGACTCAGGAAACTGTCTTTGTCTCAACCCATGCATTTTTCTTCCTTTTGCCCTTTGGAGTCTCTCCCACATCCCACTTTGGGGGCAGTAAGTGAGCATCTAGGTGGGTGTTTAGCTGTTGGCCAGGGTCAACCCACCACCTATAGGAAAGCCCTAAGGTAAGAATGAGATGGGATGCAGCTTACTAGGCTAATTGCCATGCCTCTCATCTTTTACTCTGTATGTGGAAACTACCAAATCCTTTTTATTAGGACTGAGTAGAAGAAGTCACACGTCATTTTCTCTTCCCCATCTACTAGTGCCAGCAAGAAGACAGTATGGATTATTGTTTACCCCTGAGTCTGTTGAAAACTTTATTGTTATCACCAGAAAAATTATATCATATATGTTTCAATTCTTGGGTCCATAAAGTAGGAGTAATAACATTTAGATATCCGTAATGGATTATCTCAAATCTAATTGGTAACTTTGGATACTCTATTAACCATTATTTTATTGCTATTATTTTATTATTGTAAAATGATAGTTGCTAGCATAAACAAAACTTTCTTCATATAACCTATTGAGTCTATCACTTGCGATGGAGTCTGTGTATAACACAAAACACAAGGAGCTGTAACTTTAGTATGCTTGGTTTAGAAGCAAGCATGCTTGAAAAAGAAATAATTATGATATCAATGGCAACAGAAACAATAGCAGTAGACTAAAATCAGATTACCAAATTGTTCTCAGGAGTGAAGTCCTGAACGCTGAATGTAGTGAACTGGATGCTTATGGAAAAGAAGATAAACAAATAGAAAGAAAGTTTGTTGAAATGGTGACTGTTGTGCTGGTGTGCTGGTTAGACTAAGAATGTACTTTGGGTGGTAAGTTCATTTCAGTCTGCTTAATTTTGATGTGTCACTTTCGACTCAAGTCATTCCCAGGTAGAGAACAAGTTGTGTTTTTAAGAGATGGCAGGAATTAAGCCCTGATTTCCATTCTTCCTCCTTTCCCAGTGACCACAGCTCCAGCTCGCTGCCCATCCTGAGTCTTCATTTCCCCCAGTGTTCACAGCTCCCTCCTCCTGCCTCCCAGCTACCAGGCAGGTGAGAAACAAGGAGATGTGGTTGCTTTTGAGTTAGGTATGTACTGGCTTACCGCAAACTAAACATCATAAATAATGTTAGAGCTCCAGCAACAGCCTTTCAGTCACAGTAATAATCGGAAGGAAGTAGTCTTTCCTCTACTGAGCTGTTACATTTCATGAAACTTGGAGGAACTTCATAACCTGAAGTTTTCTATTTCTGCATCAAATGTAATTGAAATGAACTTATGGGTTCAAAAGTTATTAAAGGGTGTCTGATAAGATAGGTAGGCAAACAGCATATCACCTAAACCCTGTTTCCTGAGGCTCACAGAGACAATTCTCAGCAGTTCATGAATAAGGGTTGAGGATGAAAAGTCTGACTAATATGCAAAGTATCAGTCTTGGGAGCTTCCATACCATTTACAACATTCAAGAGAGATCTCCAAAGCCATTTAGTGGCAGCACAGTAGAAAAAAATACAGTAGTTTTGAATTGTTTGGATTAATACATTAATTAGTAAAGACTGGCAGACAGGCATAACATCTCTTTGTTCAGTGTTTCTGCTCCAGCAGCTAGGCATCATCTCCCAAACATATAAAATTGTAGTTTACTGTCAGAGCCTAAGGGGAGACGGGATATTTAAAAATAAAATTAAAAAAAAAAGTATTCATAGGTCCATACCATACAACTCTACTGAATGCAGTATTTTCACTGCCTTTCAGACTTCCTGCATATGAAAGATCTACTACCTGAACATCCACAGATAAGAATCATATGGTTGTGTATGTATGAGTTGATTTTCTGCCTCACATTAAGTGCATTCTTTCTTAACATTTCCAGATTCCTAGACTGTATCAGACTTAAATTCAGATACAAAAAAACTACTGAACTGGGTTGGGCACAGTGCAGGTAACATGATACCTGTTCTAAAGTCTGATAAAATTGCATGCTTTCTTTTGTGTGTAGCCTCTTTTCCTTTATATCACTTAAATATTGATACCACGTGTCATCATTATCCCTCCCAGAACACATTCAAGGGAGTGGGGGGGGAAGGCAGACGTCAAATTGACCTTGATTTGACTTTGATGGAATGAAGACAAAGATATGAACTGAACTGAGTGACATTAAAAATGAACTTATTTTTGTCTGTCAATAATTCAGATTTCATTAAGGCTAAATCAGGTCACTGAAATGTTAGGAAAAGCCATCTAGTGTCAAAAAAAGGTTTAAGAAGAACTTAATGCCTAAAAGCAGTCTAATGACTATACCAATTCTGGATACACTGAAAATCAAGGACTAAATCTGCTCAGTTACTGATGTAGCAGTAGCGCAGAGACTATAGCTTGTATTGGTCAGGCAGCAGGGCACATAATGTACTTACACAGAGGAAGGAGCTAACGAAGAAATTCTGCACATCTATATGAGAAACAATATTGAAAATAAGGATAAAAGATGGAGGAAAGCCACAGAACTTGAGGAATTTTATTTCCCAGGTCAAACTGTTCATATAAGAAGCAGAGCTGTGGCCACTGCAGAGCTTTCAGCAGGTCAAATCCCATATTTCCTACATACAGAAGCTATATGGACTTAATTCAAGCAATTTTAACTGTATTATCTCACATTTTTTGTGTGGTCTCTCTTATATTGACGTAAAACTATTTTTATCTGTCAGATTTATGACAATACGTTTAGACCATAAGCATGAATTAAGCTTGCAAATAGTTGCTTCATTCAAAGTTGTTACTACTCCCCAGCCAGCTGTTCACCAATGACCTTTTGCAAAAAGCCACTTCCACCCACAGTTCTGCCAGCCTGTGCTCAAATGGGTCCCTTGGTGGCAGTGAGGCTGGTGGGTGACCTCAGTGAAGTGTCCAAAGGGCACCTACAAAATAGGTATGGGTACAGTAACCTGCTGCTGGATGGTGACAAATAGTGAGACATTGTATCTTCATCTGTTCCAGGAATGCTGGGACGGAAACTGCAGTCTGCTGCCCTGTTGATGGCTAAACCTGTATAAACAGGTCTGAACCATGCTAAAACTTCGATTGCACACAGCCTTGTGTACTGTATTGTTCTTGCTATATGGATTTGAAAATCCTGCTAACCTGGAAACCCCCTTGTACAAACATATCTATAGCATTCTAAAGGGTTTGTTTTAACTGATGTGATATCTGTATAAATTTATCTCTAATACAATAGCTATTTTATCATAATCTACAGCAGGAAGTTGTGCTGCATCCTGAGCCAATATATAAGCACAAAAGAAGATTAGATCTTTATCTACATCTTTTCTTTGTCATTCTCACAAGCCCATTTTAATTTAATTTTATCTAATCATACTGTAATGTAAAGTAGTGCAGTATTTAAGTGGTTCTAGGAGGCCTTTATTAGCTTAATGGAGAAAACACCAAAAAAACCCGCTGAGCAGAGGCAAATGAACTGCAACAGAGCTGGGAGGGACAGACTGTAAATTATCATATTGTTCCTGTGCTATGTGGCATAGAGTGTGCCACACTGAGGAGTGTTAATGGCTTCAGCTGTAGCCAGGACTCCTGAATGCTTTTTTTGTGGCACTTGAAAGGATACAACTTGAAACCAAGTAAACCAGCAGATTAAGTGGATAACTTGACGTTAAAATCCTTCAGTCCCAACATTGTAATTATTATTCAATATATTTCTAAATTATGCTCCTTATTTAAAAAAATCTGCCTTGAGAAACCTCCCAGAAGTCATTACTATATGCATAAATACATAGCATGTAAAATTATATTTTTCTAATCATAAGATTGCATTAACATGGTAAGGCTGCCTACTCTATTCTTCTACGTGTACACTTACTTTGTGGGTGTGCTTTATAGCAGCATTGTGTGTTATGAGCTTTATAACTGGTGAATTAGTGCTTGAAGTGTGACCTTCAGGTGCAGTTTAGCACCATGCCTTCTGTGTGTTTCTATATCATTGTAAGGGTCTGCCCTTCCCTTTCAGTTCACCTGAATCATGAATTCCTCAGAACTTAACTTTCTGCTGAGTGGGGTGAGTTGTAAAGCTATACATGTACAGCAGACCTGGAGAACCAATACTTGCAGACAAGTAGTGCATATTCAAGTACTTGCCAATGCCTGTGGCCCCATGGTGGCCAAGTAATTCCATACTGTGGCCATCAGACACCCAAATCCTTAACGCTGTAAGAACTGAGTGACAGTCTTCCCAAAGGCAGCATTACTGAAGAAGAGTTAGAGACTCCAAACTTAATAAAAGCTCCACCTAGGCACTCTACATATCTTGGGAATGCAAATATTTTGCAGCATGCTGATCCTGGTAGGAGGTTCCTTCTTTGTAATCTTATAACAAATCCAAATCCAATCATTTTATCCTGTGGGGCAATTTCTGCATGAAAATAGCAAACTCTGATATCTTTCTTAGTCAGAAGATTTGAAGCTTAAGTCATTCTGAAAGCTCCACTATAACGAATACAAAAAAGAAAGAGCCTGCTAATACAAAAAATAGCAATCCCAGCATATGCAGGCAAGAACCTTAATTTCTTTATTTGAATTATTTAGATACAGCATTAAAGCAATTTAGACAATATATGATCTTTCTTATGTCTTAAGACATGAATCTATCTATTTCTCTAGCCAAGATTCAATTTACTGGAATGAAAACATTTTAACAGACAGGTTAACAGACACATTTAAAATGAAAACATTTTAACAGACACAAAAAGAGGTGTCAGGACCTGACATTCTGATAATGATGGTGCACTGTGTAAGGGTATCCCAGAGTAGAGGTAAATCCTGGGTCTGCACACTGACAGGCATAATAGTCACTTAATCCTGGTGGAGTTAATGAGATTACCACTACCCTTCCCTGTTTCTCCCCTGGTATCTTTTTGCATGAAGTCTGTCAGAGAGAGTTTGATGGAAAATGTACATGTCTTCCCAGCTCAGGAATCAGAAACCCATAATAAGGACCCTGAAGATGAACTATCCCTGATGCAAAAAAATTGCACTTCCAATTAAAAATAAAGACAAAAATAAAACTTGGCATGCACACTGTGTCAGAAAAGGTTTGACAGAACGTGACTCCAAATTGCTCAGCAGCTCAAAACAACTGGACCATTTGGTACTCTGAGTTTGTAGGCTACAGCAGCTCCCATCACTGCTGCACTCTCTTGATTTGTAAAGGCCACTCTGTACCATCACACTTGTTGACAGAAAATAAGGGAGTGGTATATCCCTTTATTTCAAAACAGATGATCTCAGCTCCTGGCACATTTGACGTGTGTTTCTCACTGCCCAGAGTTCAAGTAGATCAACGTGTGGCTGTTCTGTACCAGGGACCACAGACCCCGAGCCTTCACATTATCCCAGGGAGATGCCTATCTCCTACTTCAGTGGCATTTATGCAGAAAATGCGGGAACGCTCAGAAGCTGGTCCAGGGTGTGTCCCTGATACACATAAATACCTGGTAGCTGTTTGCATAAAGTCTCACAGACTGCGTTAAATCAGTACAAGGAGCAACACGCCCCAGAAGGCTAAACAAACCCAATGTCAGAGCACCAAATTTATGCACAAGCTTTGCCATTCCTTGAAAGGAGTCCCATTGGAGGTAGGGTTTGACAGGAAGGTAGTCTGTCACTCAATTTACAGGCTTAAGGTGCTGTAGGGGAGCCAGTTGTGACTTCCAGAAAATCAGCATGAAATCAGAGAATAAGGAATTTGTTGTGTCTATTGATTTTTTATACAATGCAACACCTAAGGTGTGTGTGGGCAGGTTTTCAGAATGGTTTCAACCTTTGTATAGTCCCCCTATGATCAGTTGCAATTACATGGCAAAATTAGCCACTTTAGTCTTGTACCAGGAATGCTACTTTTGTGTTACATTTATTACATTATCTTATATACTGACAATAATCATACATACTCTCTCTTTTCTTATACTGGTATTTTCATGCATTTGTGTCCTTTTAAAAAATCAATAGCTGCATTATCTTCAGGTTGCCTCATGTATTTCAGCACTGCAAGAATCTAGGTGTTGGAAATAAAATGTTAAGCCACCCAAAGCCACTGCAGATAATCATATTTAACACCTGACTAAACTGGGCTCACCCAGAGCTGTTGGTAGGATTGGAAATAAACAATCCTGCTCAAGTAATTCTGTTGTATTACGTGAGAGCCCATTAATAGCTGCAGTTTCTATTAAAGCTGGATGTAATTCTAGAAGCCAAAGACCCTGTTTAGGAATATTTTGTACCTCTTATTTCTCTGATACAGCAGGTCTTGGAAGGGACTACCATTTATTTTTCTATGACCTACAGACAATTGATCATAAATCTATTTGCTTTTAATTAATATATCATAATGAAAAGCAGATGAGAGAAGATTGCAGAGAGAATGATTTGCTGGTTGACCTTCATAGTGATGCCACAGCACTGAGTTGCTTTTCATTTATTCCTGGAATCTGTAATGAAAATGTGCATACTGTATCACAATTAAAGTGCTAACTTATGTCATATTTATCCATATTTCCACCACCAAACTGAAGTGAAAACTAAGCTTTTGTGTTGCCTGAATAACATAATTCCCCAAGTCCACACACTTGAAATTGAACAAAACCCCTACCTCTGAAGAGCCAGCAGAGAGCAGAGTGTTAAGGCAGGGCAGGCACCAGTGTGGAGAGCCAGAGATTCTTTGAAATGGGGTGGCATTAGAGACCCATTCCCAAAGAGTCAAAATTAGTACAGTAAGGAAAGGGAACAGAAGCTCAAGGATGTCCTACTGCATTTTACTGTAAAAGGTTTGCTTTTTCTTTTGCGGCAATGCTTGAACTCGACTTCTTTCTCTTCAAAGGAACATACTTTTCTTTTCCTATGCAGCTTAGCATAACAAAGGAACAGGCTTTTAATGGTGTCTTGGTTTTTTTTGGTTTCCAGACAAGGGAAGACTTCTGATTTCCTCAGAATATATATTTTACCTATAGAAAAATGGCCTTTTTATCCTCGTGGATCCTTTCTGATTCTTCCACATAATTTTCTTAGGTTCCCATGCTTATCTTCACTGCATGACGATATGCCCTTGGATCTTCCCAAGACATGGTTGGGAACCTGCAACAGTGTGTACCTGGTGGGCCTTTGTCACTGCTGGGGACATTCTGGTGGTCATAACCACTACTGCTTGTACTAAGCTTTATATTGACTACACTGTTCCAGTGCTCATGCATTAAGATCCTCTATATCAGTTCCCCCTTTCATAGGACTCATATGCAATCCTCAGCAATTTTGCATCCCTGCAGCAATGTCTTCACCCAGAGCAAGCTGCCTGGAAGGACACAGACCTTCCTGCAGGGAAAGAAGTCTCAGGAGTTTCCAAATTCCTTCTCCTTCCTGTTACCAAGCAAATTTAACAATCTCTTCTTTAACAGAGAGTGCTAGAAAAACACAGCTTCCCTAACTGCTGAAGGACTGATGCATATTAAGGGGAAAAACAGGTCAAACAAAGGATAATACACTTTCAGAGCCTCTATTCCACACAGAGTGCTGACCTGACTGGGAGCATACACAGTAGAGGGAGAAATATCCTGGGGAGATCACAGGGAAAATCCTGTAGCTGAAACCAACACGCTTCAAGAAAAACAGAAAGGCAGATAGGTGCATCTGTTATCAATCAGCTCTCTAGACAACAAGTTTAGGAGCAAAAGAAACAAGCTTTCCCTCAGGCTCAAATTCCACCTTGGAATTTCTCAAACATCCATGGTTGCAGAGCTGCAAACAGCAGCTGTTGCCAACCTCCTTACCAGCCTGACCACCCAGCCAGGGAAACCAGGAAAAAAATTGATTACCTGTACAGAAACTGTCCTGGCTAGCTGAGAAAAGACACAGTTGCCTAAGTAGCACACTACCAGGTTTAATCCATTAATCCAACAATCCAACAAAGTGCTGATCAATTCCTGATCACACATGTACTCAATCACTGTTTTTTTTGTTTACTTTCAGTAAGAATATTTAAAGCACAAAATTAACTCCCTGTGAAGTTGTCTGCAGTATCAATTCAGCTTTTCTCCCTGAGAATGGAAAACTGCAGAGTACATTACCACTACACTGAGTGCTCGTCTACCAATATTAAAA